TTTTTTTTTTTTTTTTTTTTTTTGGAATTGGTTCTCCATAATAAGGACTCATCGAGTTACTTTAGAGGTTCGGAAAATCGGCATTGCTAGGTCGATAGAATTTAACGCCTACAAAGTCCCAAACTTTATCGGAGACCTTTGCACAATATGCTTGCTTGTTATATTTCTCCAGGATCCAATATTGGCCCATATCTCAGTATCAACAGTTGCAAAACCTCATCTCTAACTTGCCCAGATGACTTTCCTCTAAAACGGGCAAGGTATTCAATCTTTTTGTGTGCTATCGGCCGAGATGAGGGAGATTCGTAGCCAAGTCGGCGACAGAAGCGACCTGTTGTGCAAAAGATTCCGAACACGGCAAACCTCTTTTCTCCGCCATCCTTTGGTGCCCAACCTAATCGAACACACTTGTTTCTAATTTCGTGAGGAACCGTCAGGACGCGTGGAAGTGCTAATCTCGATTTCGGTTCGAGTCGCCGGCCAGGGTTATGTGTGCTGTTCAAAACGGAAGATGGCTCACAGGCTCGAGGACAGGATGTACGCCGGGCTTGACCGACAGGATCATAGTGGACTCTGGAGCCAGTTGGGCTAGTAGACGTAGTAGTTGCAGGCACGGTAGATCCACCCGATCGGGGCCTTGTGCAAATATAGATAACATCGTCGCTTCCGTTCATGTTGTGTCATTGTCCTCCGTTGGTTGAGTTAAGAAAAATCAGGGAGGTGTCGGTGCGGGGGTGTAGAAAAGCACAATCCGACTTATTTGTGGATCACAGAACGGTCAATCAATACTGCGCTAGGTTCTGGGGGGATGTATTTAATGATGCTAGATTGGGTGTCTATTGCGTGTTCTGTTCCTCTGTGGTTCCAGTCCAAGTACTTTAACAGTTACTTCCACCTCACCGCTATCCTTACCACACATTTCTTATCTCCTGCATCGTTATCGCTGTACTCTTGTACTTCCGGTAGACCGCGATATAGCACACGCAAACCTTCCCACGAAGTGATGGTGGTTTTGGGCCAAGGGTGTGTCCAGTGGCCATCGCATACTGCTTCAGATAGGTACTATGTGAGGACGCCCTTAATTTCACAGTATTCATCTGGACCGTCCACCTTCCTAGCAGCTTGCTTCGCGGCGTCATCTGCAATCACATTCAGCGTTCGAGGGATTCCCCAGAATTGAATCTTCAAACCTGAATCATCCCACAGCTCGATCGGAGTCAGTACAGCGACCAGGTCAACGGCAGATCGTTTCGGGAGCGCGCTGGCTTGCTGTGGGTGGAGGACTGCGTAATAAATCGATGCCCACGCTAGTCGGCGAGCGATCATCCGCTCAAGGCCATCCCCAAGACAGCAGAGCAGAGAAATAGGGCGCCAT